ATATTATTATTTGAACTTCCACTAAGCCCTCCATCATCATAACTATCCCAGCTATCCCAACCCGCACTGTTCCCAGATACCCCATCCCTAACCCCACCACCCAACGGAGGTTTATTGATATAACTACTGCTCTTATTAGCGGATCTGATTGTTTCTTTCACAATAGGGGGATCGCGCCAGGGTTTTCCCTCAGCAAGTGATTGAATCCGGTCTCGATAAACAGATGCAGCATTGGTATTATATTTCGCAACAATATCAGTTTCTTTGGGGATTCCATACTGCAAAATAAATTGATTAAATCTTTCATTTCCGCCGAGCTCCATTTTCTTCAATTGAATCTCGGACCACGAGTCCATCGTCACAGATCGAACAAAGGATATATGAACGCCAAGGCCGCGGTGCTTGCCCGAGCACTCCAGGCACATGAAAACGCCGTAGGAGACGGAAGCCCACTGCGGATTCTTCTGCGAACAATCCACGCAGATCTTGTTCCCCGGCTGCGATTGGAGCTCCCGAAGCCGACGCGAAGCCGCCATTGATAGGTTTTGAAACGGATCTGAGAGATGATCAAATCAAGGGTTGTGTTACTTGTGTATGATTGAAATTGGGGTTGAGTGAATGGAAAATTTTAGAAAAAAGTTGGAGAAATACAGAAGTAGAGAGAGATCGAGAGAGAAAGAGGGGGGGGGAATGGCCGTCACCGTTTAAAACGTTTGCGGTGGATAACGGCTGGAATGCTAGTGAAATGGGTTGTCAGCTAAGCACTTAATCGGGCCTCTTTTGGACAGATAAAATGCCCGATTTGCGATTGCAATCGTTACATTAGAATAATACTATCTAAATTAAACCTCATTTTTCTTCTTTTAAAACAAAATTCTTTTACTTTCATATTTATTTTCAATCACACATTTACACAATATAATATTTTGCACCTAAACCCGAAATTTTTTTTTATATTCGACGCATAGTTTTTATACATTCAGCCCCTAATTAATTTAGCTAAATTCATATTTTTATTAGATTTAAATAAAAAGTTAATAAATGTGTGGTTGAAAGTTCATATAAGTCGTGAATTTCATAAAATAAGTGATTGAAAATGAGGTCAAAAAAAAAATTAGAAAATAAGAGTCAAACAAGGCTAGAATATTGAACTGTGAGCGTGTCTTGAAAGGGAATTGCAAGGTTGCAACCACACAAAGACAAAAGGATAATGTTATTTGTATACCATTTTTCATACATCATACTTGACATTACCATTATAGGCAATAATTGAAGAACTTTGCTATTTGTACACTAATTTTGGCACTTTAGTTAACACTTCCATTGTTGTCAAATGTCAATTAGATGAAAAACTGTTTGAAATTTAACTTATCCAATAGGATAATGACACATGATAAAATGTAAACTAAAACGTACACCATAATGTACGTGTAGCAAAGTTCTTGAATGTGATAGAAAACCTTTTTTTTTTTTTTTAAACTGCCTAATGATATATTGTCACGTGACAAAATGTAAAACTTTGCATACACCAAGCATGATTGGAGGCAAAATCCCAAATAAATCTTGCTAAGAAAAATCTTTCACAATCAAATGAATCGTCAAAAGCTATATAGAAAATTTGAAATCTTGAAAATATGGAAACTCACAGCATTAATGGTACTTCCAAGTTTTGGACAGCGTCACAAGCCCAGGAAATCAGAAAAAGAGTTTAGCAGAGAATATGAACATCTCTTCTGTTATTCGAAGTATGAGTTGGTGAAGAGCTTTCAACTAGTACTGTTTCCTTCATCCATAGCCATTGACCAACAGAAAACGCACTCTTTTCTTAGCCATCAGGATAAAAGAGAAGATTCTGAATCTCAAAACAAAGACGTGAATCAAGTTTATGCTCCTTTATTGAACCGTGCCGTGTGTACAGCTCGGCACATAGCACGGTTCACAGCCCCCTCATAGTTGGGGGGCCCACAACAATAAAAATAAGGGCTTATTTTTTCCTCGAGAAAACATTCGAGGAATGATTAACAACCGCAAATGTCTTCAAATAATTCAATATCCATAAGGAAACAGTTCAGATATTCAAATCTCTCTTAACATTCCACGATTCATCAAAAGTTTGATGATACTTCAAACGTTAAGCAAAATCAAGGAAGATGGTGAAAGAAAGTGCCCCTAAAAACATTCAAACCGCACTGCAGCAGCCAAAATCTTCAAAATATCAAAATACATCACAAACTCAACGATCGTGGCCCCTGGAGGATGACCAAGTGGAAGTGGCCTTTGGTGGACCCCCAAATGAAGTTGTTCTATGCTCATCACGCCACCTGTCACCAGCTTGAGACGTTCGGTCGTCTCTCCTGTTAACACTACCACTGGCCCACCGGTCATTTTCAGCAGGTGGGGCACCTTCCGCAGCCATGCGTTTGAACCTGGGCACATATACACCTGGAGTTGGTGCAGCAGCTGGAGCAGTAGCAGCCGGAGGTGCTTCCACTTGACGTGACATGGCAGACGGATCGGTGAGCCGTGATGGCATGGCATTCGATCTCCCCAAAAGCTCCTCTCTCCTCTGCCTTTCTTTCTCCTCCAGTTCCCTCTCACGTTGCCTCTGCTTTTCAGCAATCTCATCCAGCTTTGCTTTACGCTCAGCTTCTTCTTTCTTCCGCCTCTCCATCTCTGCAAATCCAATCGTCCAGAAGCAAATGTTACATTATAGATCATTAATGCAACATATAGTTATAAACAAGAAAAGATCATCAGGAAATATACTCTCATAAACTCAAAATACGACTTTTATCCAAATAATATAAACCAAATACCATAAACCGTTCAACTCTTGAGATATCACAACTTTTAATTTTTAGTCTGCATAATTATAAGAGAACAGGAATTAAGCAAAGGAAGACCGGGGGCTCCAACAATAGGGAAAACTCCAAACCCACTAGATTTCTTGGACAGGTGAAGGGGCGCAGGAAAAAGAAGCATGGATAAGTTACCAGAAACATCTATTTTATCTGATGGTAAAGAACTTACACCAGGCGGAAGAGAATATGCAAATTTTTTGGGTGGAATAATCATAAGCATCAGTGCAGAAGTAAGTATATCCTGAAATACTCAAAAGCGAACAAATATAGAGAACAGGGTAAATTACTCCCAAGTAACGACTAAGAAAGGGGATTGTATGTTTGAAGACCATAGGCAAGTATATCTATATTGGAAGAGAAAGCCTGCACACCAAAATATTCATACGAAAAATTAATGAACGATATAAACAACGGCAAGTCCAGACTTAGATGGGGCAGGAGAAGTCACATCATGCATAGAAATTTCTAGAGCAGCATTGCAGTATTAAGCACATTTCAGTAAATCACGATAGGCATGCTGTTAACCAGAACGAAATCCCTACAATTTTATTTGGAATTCAAACATGAAAAATACCTTCACGCTTCCGTGCTTCTTCCTCTTCACGCAATCTTATTTGTCTCTCCTCCTCACATCTCAGATAATATATAAATTTCCTCTTAGCCTCCCTTTCTTGTTTCCGCAACTGGATGATTTGGTTGGTCCGCTCCTCTCTCTCCATCTCAAGTCTGTTAAATTCAGCCTCCCTACGACTAACCACTCTCTCTTGGAATAAATTCTGTGAAAATAGGTTCATGAAGTTAACTAAGACTTATTGAAGAATGCTACTGTACAAAAAGAACTACACTAAACCCTGTTTGACAGAATTTTTTTGGGGAAAGAATGAGTTTTTGAATAGTAAATTTTTTGAGAATGTGTAGTTAAAAAGTAGGGAAAAGTTTTTGGTTTATATGAAGAATATTTTATTGTAAAAATGTGTGATTGAAAATGAGTACGAGAAAAAAAGAGTTCTGACAGAACGATTGTCAAACAGGGCCTAAGAATTTATTAGATGTAAAATCTAACTGCCAACTTTTTAGAAAGTGCCAGAGTGCATAAAAATGAATAGGAAATATATATGAAATTCAAGTTAGCAATCAGCAAACAACTACTATGAGTCCTCAAATGAAACTAGTAGGATACAATTCTCAAATGCAAGAAATTTATCTAGTTCTTTTCCAA